GGTTTTCATCCATATACAAATAAATTGAGTTTATTCATTATATGAAAGCCAATGCGACAAAAAAAATTCTAAAAAATTAACGGTAATTCGTAGCTACTTGAAGTTTTCATATTATCACACTAAAATAGCAGTGGCTAAAAAACTGTGTACTCAAAAAAATTCTAGCACTTCCGAGAAAAAAGTTTGAAACTTAGGTGAAAATTTTTTGCCATTTTTTGAAGTTTTCTACAAATTGTTAAACTTGGGTTTTTATGGGGTTTGTTAGAGAAAGAACTGTATTTTAATTGAAAATCCTTAAAAATAAATAAATAAGCATAAGTGCCACACAATATCACTTTGAAATGGCGTGCTATAGATATGACCGATACTGTATATGGGAATATTTACAAATTGGGTTTTTTTTTCAATAAATTTACTTCTACTTTAGTTTGAGTTCATCTAATTTTGTTTACTCAATACATCACTTATTCTTTGAGTTTCTTATGCACCTACATACATGGGCGCAGCCAGTTAGGGGCAGGGGGGTGCTCGAGACCCCCCCCCTAACTTTCAAATGTTCCTTATATATATATAAAATAGTACCCTGAAATGCCAGCTTAATAGGGTCGAGCCCCCCTAAATTTCATTCTGGCTACGCCGATGCCTACATATATATTTTTTTTCTCTTCAGGTTATTTTTTATTTATTATATTTTATCCGATTCAAATCTTATAATAGTATTTGTTTTTGTTAAATGGTGTAGTTATCCTGATTTACGGTTGATTTAAATTTTACTTTGAAAATTTCCCTTACTCATTACATTGTTAGTATTGTAAATATGTATGTTTTTATTTTCTCTGTAAGTGCAAAACCGCGTATTAACAAAAAGCAAAACCGCGTATGTGAAGTTTTAGAAATTATTTTCTAGAGTGTAAAAACACTCATATTTCAAAATGGTTCTTTTTTATAAAGAAATCGCATTTCTGCCTAGTATATTTCAGGACGAATAGATAAGGATTGAGCCAAGAGCTTGTGTGAGCAAATCCAATTTTTGGCAGCCAATGTCAGTTACGCGGTTTTGCAGAATGACGATACGCGGTTTTGTACTTTAAACGACGATATGTAGGTACTCGTACCCGTCATGCGTCGCTTTATTTCTTTTTTCCCCTTCCCTATACTACCTATATCTTCCTTCTCACTCATGTAACGTTTTCAGTTTTAAAAATTTCACTCTCCATTTTTGCCATACCGCCGCCTAAGAAGTTGCACTTAAAAAATTTGCCTAAAAGTGGCGCATGAGTCGGGATATTTGGAGAACTCGCATTTATGGTCCGATTTGGTTCATACTTGGAAAGCTTGTTAAAATAAAGGTAGGGGATATTTGCCCACATACACATTTCGTCGTAATTTTAAATATATCCCAATTTTCTCACTTCAGTAAAACAGTTTCCCCGCGAGTTATTTGAATAAGCATTTTATTAAAAATATATAAATGTATAATTATGTGCTGGTGTTTAAATTCAAAAAAAAATCTTCAATAAAAAATTCATGTGTAAAAAGAATATATCAACAGTGTTTCTGAAAAGCGACCCTCAACCAAGTGGTTTTTATGTATTATCAAGTATTATAGGTAAAGAGCGTCTTTAGATTTTGGCAGATTTAGCCAAACTTAGGGCTTCAGTAAGCATTCTTCCAAAGTCTGCGTGAACCAGAGTGAAGTTCTTAACAGCGCGCTCTTGAATGAACTGACTGGCGTTGCTTAAATTACCAGCAATATTAGCTACTAGACGCTGACGAGCTTTCTCGTCCAAGACATACACCCAGAAATCGGTAACTTGGCTGTAGTTATCTTCAGTGAAGCCACTGCTGAAACGATACACATCACCCTGTGTAGGGCAACACGGCATCAGGCTTTTTGCACGAGCACTTTCATCAGGGCCAGAGAATGAGTTCGGGAAGTAGTTAGGAGCACCACCTTGGTTGTCATTAACACGCATCGCACCATCGCGCTGGAAGTTCTTTACGCTAACACGGTAAGGACAGTTAACTGGTATCTGCAAATAATTCGGTCCTAAGCGATGTCTATGGGTATCGGAGTATGAGAAAAGTCGTCCTTGCAACATCTTATCGGGTGATGGTTCGATACCCGGAACCAAATGGGCTGGACTGAAGGCAATTTGCTCTACTTCGGCAAAATAGTTGGTCGGATTTCTATCGAGCACTAACTTTCCAACTGGTATGAGCGGGAAATCCGCGTGACTCCAGACCTTGGTTACGTCGAAGGGATTATATTTATATTTCTTGGCTTGATCAAATGTCATCACTTGAATATAAAATGTCCAACTTGGGTAGTTGCCATTTTTAATGGCATTGTAAAGATCTCGAATGCTGTAGTCGGGGTCCGTTGCCGAAAGTTCTTGAGCAACCTTCGGATCCAAATTTTTAATACCCTGATCTGTTTTGTAGTGAAATTTGGCGTAGACAGGGTCGCCTTTGCAATTGATTAACTTAAAGGTGTGGGAGCCATAACCATTCATATGGCGGTAACCGTCGGGAATGCCACGATCGCTAAACAAGAAAGATACCTGTAAAGCAGAACAGGTCAATGGTTGAATAAGAAGCCCTAATCAAGTTATTTGTTACCTGGTGGGTACTTTCCGGGCGAAGAGTCAAAAAGTCCCAGAACATATCAGGATCTTTCAAATGCGTTTGAGGATTGCGTTTCTGTGTATGGATGAAACTAGGGAACAAAATCGGATCGCGAATGAAAAAAATTGGAGTGTTGTTGCCCACCAAATCCCAGATACCATCGTCAGTATAAAATTTAACAGCAAAACCACGCGGATCGCGAACAGTGTCAGCAGATCCACTTTCTCCACCGACTGTGGAAAAACGGATAGCGACCGGTGTGCGCTTGTGTACCTTTTCGAACACCTTTGCTGCGGAATATTTTGTAATATCATGCGTCACTTCGAAATAACCAAAAGCGCCAGCACCTTTGGAATGGACTACACGCTCCGGTATGCGCTCACGATCGAAAGCAGCCAATTCATCCAAAAACTTGACATCCTGCAATAAAACCGGACCCCTTGGTCCTACAGTTAGAGTGGCATCCTTAATGCCAACGGGGTTGCCGGATCCTGTAGTAATTACACCAGGCGATTCCTGCAATGAAATTAATTAAATGCTGATTATTGATTACAATAATAACAATAAAATAAAATATAGAAAAAAATGCAAAGCGAGTGCTGCATCAGATGAAATTGGCGATACAATTTTAGCCAATAGTTATTGAACGTCAAAGTATATTATGAGGCACACTCAAAATACATAAAGTCACTCACAGAAGTAACTAGTTTTTTCACAATATTTAAAATGTAGCTCATTCTATAACAAAAACCATATAAATCATTCTTGCAAACTTTGTACAAAATGCATAAAAATTAATCAAACTTAAAAATAATTTCATCAAAATTTCAAACCATTTATTCAGAATTTTTAGAAAAATTTTCGGTATGCAGTTTTGTAGCCGGTTCAATTTTAGTACAATAAAGTGCAAGTTTCAAGCAGCTACAAATTACTGCTAATTTTTTAGAATTTATTTTGTCGAGGGCGTTGCGCATTTTCTTCCATACAAAATAGATTTTGTTCATGGCTTATATAGAAACAAATACGCAACACCCTCGACAAAATAAATTCTAAAAAATTAGCAGTAATTTGTAGCTTCTTGAAACTTGCACTTTATTGTACTAAAATTGAACCGGCTACAAAACTGCATACCGAAAATGTTTCTAAAAATTCTAAAAAATCAGCGGTAATTTTTAGCTACTTGAAACGTGCACTTTATAATGCTAAAATGAAAGGGCTACAAAACTGAATACAGAATTTTTTTTTTTTAAATTCCGAATAAAAAGCTTGAAATTTTGATGAAAATTTTTCAAGCTCGATTCATTTTTTTGTACGAAGTTTGCAAGAATGATTTATATGGTTTTTGTTATAGAATGAGCTAAAGTTTAAATGAAATTTAACGAAAAACGTTTATGATGGAAAACATTTTGAATATTGTGCAAAAACTAAATTACGAATACTTGTGTGAGTGACTGTATAAGTGCATCAGTATCAGGGATTGGCAAAGGGTGCTGTTTTTGTGACTTTAAGCCTACTCACGTTAAAAACGGAGGATGAACGAACACCACCGCAAAGCGTGCTGTCTTGCAAATACAGCCACCACAAGTGAACGATGCTTATAACAGCTCATACTGATATTGACTTCGGCAAATCTGTACTCCGAATGATCGTGCACCAAACCAGCAACCGCCGTATTTGATCGACTGCCAAAAGCACGATACTGCTTTGGACGGTTGCCGAAAGCATGACAGCTTATGTGAAAGACTGGCGAAGGCAAGATGCCGCAGTTAGCTAAATTGATTTGTTGCAGAAGTCAAACCGCCGCCTTTGGTTTGTTGCTGAAGCCGCGTTTGACGTGTTGCCGAAGTGATGATACTGTAGTTCAAAAACATTCAAAGACACTTGCTTGTTTGAAATGAAGCATTGATATGTACATACATACATACTTACGTACGTATGCATATTCACAACTAGCCAGCAGTGAGCAATGCAATTGAATGGTAGACGCGCTATAAATACATACATACATGCATACGAGACGATAAATTACCCTTTACCACATTCGTCGTCATTTCAGCAATAAGTCAGATGATTTTCAGCAACAAGTCTGATGAGTTTCAGCAACAAGTCAAATGGCTTTCAGCAACAAGTCAGATGATTTTCAGCAACAAGTCAAACGACTTCTGCAACAAATGATGACTCTCATGTTTTCGGAGCCGTTCAACTGCCACGTTTGCTGGTTTCGTGCACGATCATTCAGAGTACAGATTTGCCGAAGTCAATATCAGTATGAGCGGTTATAAGCATCGTTCACTTGTGGTGGCTGTATTTGCAAGACAGCTCGCAATGCGCTCGTGTTCAGTCATCCTCTAATTTCGTTTAGGTATCGATACTACTAAGCCAACGCCGCTGCTCAGTCATACAAAGCAGCGGTATTGAATGAGTATGAACAGTTGACGATCAACCAATGCCAATCCCTGATCAGTATAGTACATATCGCACGTTTAATAATAGAGAGATGTAACTCAAAATTTACGTTTTTGGAGATTTCATTATGCAATTAATCATCTTGATAAGAAGAATATGTTCAGTCTAACAGATTACCACGCTTCCCAAATATGGCGAAGATATGTGTCTTTCCATCTGCCTTTTTGTATACCAACTGTATGAATTGATAAAACTTTCGCCCCTATTGCGAATGTCGCCTGGCAGTAGATAAACGACTATTAAGCGATTATCGATGCTTTCGTGAGTGTCGCTTAATCGCTCAATTAGCGACTGTGAATACTTTTTAATCGCTCATCCTTCTATTGCTGTTTTTTAGTCGTTGGAGTTTGCGTTTATAAAATTTACATAAGAAAGTGTTACTATAATGGATAAAAAGTGAGTCAATTAAACTGGAAGTTGTAAAAAATTGTTAAATATACATATGTATGTATGTGTCTGAATTACAGATAAAAAATTGTAAGCAACAAAAGGCAACTTGCGCGGTTGGTCGAGCTGATGCAGGAGAATGAGGACCCAGGCAAAGAAATTTTCGGAAAGAGTAGGGGCGGAAGCTCCGCTTCTATTGTGAAAGATATGCAATATATCTTGTGCATATAACTCCGGCTACGCCATCCAAACACCGTGCATGCGCAGAACCAACATCAAAGTTTACAAAAAACTGTGTAATTTACTAATTAACTAGTGCTCGGAAATTTGAAATCTTTATTTTAAATTAAAGTTTAATTCTTTCACTACACTTGTACGTTAAAGTTTTTAAACTCGGGTCACGCGTTTGGACACAAATACCAAACATCATTGTACAAATACCTAAACCGTACCGTATTTCTTAAACTTCCATAAAGTTTATTAATGAGGAAAACAGCGTTTCCTGCAAATCCTGTAAAACCTACAAACAGTTAAGCATCTGGAACGCAACTTCTATTCATATAATTCTCATATGTGCATACACTTCATCTTCCAACTCCAAGGGATCCGACGAATCTCGCAATTCCCTCCTTGCTTTAGCCAACTCTATTAACCTATTAGCTTCCACATCATCTTCCTCATCACTAAACCATATTTTAACTGTATCCATTTTTTAAATTATTTAACAAACAAACAGCTGTTTACAATTCAGTCAACCACTCACAAGAGTACAAATTTTTATCGATCAAGTTACACAATTGCAAAATAGAAGATGATCGACTGGATCGACAAATTTCTATTTTACTGCCAGTCGACACTCGCAATAGGGGCTTTTGATTGCTTTTTCCCACAAAATTTAAATTTTGAAATACTTCGTTATATTATTGAACGTGCGATATGTATATACATACGAAAACATATAAAAAAAAATCTTTATTTTTGTGAAAAATTGCACCACATATGTATACGTCATCCTTANCTCCAACAAAGCTCGGCACACGCGGATTCCAATGCTTCCGTTGAAAGCAGAATCGAGCGTATTGAACGAGCACTCGCATGCATTGAGAAAAAGAGCAATAAAAGCCATCAACGAGCACGGTCTCAAAGTCACCAAAACAGCCCTCTACGTTCCTCTGCGAACTNACACCAGGTTGGTGGCTCCATCAAGTGATTTTACCATAAGGCTCGAGGCATATAACTTACTTGTACTGCTGGTACAATATTAATTTTTTTACAAATGAGGTCCAGGAAAGATCGAGATAATAAGAGCCGAAATTTCATAATTTTTCTACCATTTTGTTAAACAATTTCTCTTTTTTTAATTCACAACTTTAATATCGTNTTGCGAATGTCGCCTGGCAGTAGATAAACGACTATTAAGCGATTATCGATGCTTTCGTGAGTGTCGCTTAANTCATCCTTACCAGTGTTGCCGCGAATCATTTTTAGTGGTAGCCAAATTCTTTTAAAAAAAGAGCTAAAAAAAGTCGTTGTGGCTAAAAATGGTAGCTAAAATTTTTACTTACATACGCATATATACACGCAAACATTTTCAATAAGTAATGGTATAAAAACAATGAACTCTGGAAAAAAGGCAAATATTTTATCCAACCAAAAACCTTTTTGTATAAAAGGGGAAATATACGACACCAGGTTGGTGGCTCCATCAAGTGATTTTACCATAAGGCTCGAGGCATATAACTTACTTGTACTGCTGGTACAATATTAATTTTTTTACAAATGAGGTCCAGGAAAGATCGAGATAATAAGAGCCGAAATTTCATAATTTTTCTACCATTTTGTTAAACAATTTCTCTTTTTTTAATTCACAACTTTAATATCGTGAACTTAATCTTCCACAAGCACGGCTTTGACTCATATAGTGCAAGAAATTTCCGCCAAAATACTTTTTACTTAGAAAATTGAGCTAATTTCACCACTCACGACATCAGCATGCTGGTACAATCATAAAATTTTCAAATAGTTTTTGAACAACAACACACCACAAGAACATACACGGTCAATCGACTTGATAGGCCATTTGACAAATTGAGCATATTAAGGGCCGTAAACTTATCTATTTTAAACCATAGTTAAATCGTTAATAGATAAGTTGCCAGCCCTACCACTTTTACAGTATGTATGTGTGGCAACGCTGCGACAACACATAAAATGCAACTCTGCTCAATCCAATTTGACAGCGGCATATTCTTGCTCTTTCTTTCTGTTCCGGTTTCGAGGAGATAAAACAGGCGTGTGATTTTTACAATTATCTTGATTTTGTAGATTTGAGTTAAAATAAATATTAACTTAGTTTCCCTATACATAACTGGTGTTTCTTCTGCATTGAGCGACTGGGACGATATAACTGGTGATAAGGCGGATTCCTCCCGATTAAAATATTGGTTCGAACATCCGAGAAACGTGGGCGAACTTCCATCATGGGAACCAACGACGGAAATTCAGGCGACACCACCTCCGAAAATAGCACCTGCACCGACGATAGCGCTGATATTAGTAGTTTCGCCGCCCGAGTCCAAGTGCCACTACTGAGTGGTTTCTCGCTACAGAGCATCGAGTCCTGGTTGACCCGCTTGGAAGCGTTTTTCTCCATAAACAATTTCGGGAAAATG